GGATTATAAACTAATTGAAAATTCAAATATTTTTTAAGATCAGTGATTAAGAGTAGTTGGCAATATTCGAAAGAGCATTGCTATTTCTTTATTTATCTCATAGACACGTACTAGCAAAAGAAACTTTTTTTGAATGAAGCAACGATTTCTGAAATAGCTACTTATTTTGGAGGGCTCAACAAATCAGCTCACAATAGAAGTATGTATATATAGTAAGTATATGTTATAGAAGTATTGAAATGACTGTACTAGAGTTTAAGCAAATAAAATGATGTATATTTATTTCATCACTATTTTATTTTATTTTCTTTTATTTTATTTTTATTGTCATTATTTATTATTATATTTATTGTCATTTATTTATTATATATATTTATATATATAATGTCACCGATATTTGGAATATTATTTCTTTTCTCCCTCAAAAAGAGGAAGAGATAAATAATGAACTCAAAACAATTAACTAAGTGAATTAAACTACTAATATATTAAAGTCTGTTTTGTTTTTTAAGAATGTTAACTTTTATTTCGTGCGTTATTTTTTAGTATAATTCTATACGTATTTCGGCAAAAAAATAATTATATTATATATAATATATTATATATAATATATATGTTATATATACTATTTTATTATTAAAAAATATTTTTATGTTTTCTTTCTTAAACTCTGCGTTCCTATACACTAATCTCGCTGTACGAATGCAAATTAGATATTTTGTGAAAATAAGTTTTGTATTGAATGAAAACAATGTAATATTCAATACTATTTTAACAAGAAAAAAATTATACATAACAAAAAGATTCATTAAAATATCTTAATTGTTGGATGTCGTTGCTCATTCATTGCAACACAAAACAAAAGTCATTTCACACTTTCCTAAACACACGCGCTGAACTTAATGAAGAAGCAGTTCCTTTGCATCCTGCCAAATGAACAAAATCATTAATTATTCTAAGTAACAAAAAAAAACAAGAAATAAACAGAATAAAAATAAAAATAAATATGAATGATATAAAGATACTAATTTCCCATATTTCAAAAAGGAAAGAAGACAAAACGATACAAGAGAAAAATGTTATCCTACACTAAAACTCCACTTAGTAGGTGTGATTGGGCAAAATTAACATTTTGCGTTAGTGTCCTCCAACGGAGTACTCATCACAATAACAATTTACGAAAAGTCATTGCCTCAGGGGATTGTATTCGTATACGTGAACGAACTTCCGTTTCAGTGTTCCATGTAGTGAAATGGAAGCGAGTTGCCATTGATAAATGATTGAACGCCGCTCTACTACCGGCAAAAAGACGGCTCGAATACAATATAAATGGACAACAGGCGACAACGGATGTTTTGCGGAGTGGGTGTATGACTTAAAATTATGGAGGTTGACTGGCTGGTATTTAATTTATATAAAATCTTACCACAAAATTAGTAATAATTTTTTTTGTTAAACGTAAAATTAATTGCAACATTTCACGCCTGCAAAATATATAGAGTTCGGATATTTTTGGCGTGAACAGAGAATTGGATTGAAAGGAAGTTGCATTAAAGCAAACACTTTAGTAACGGAAACAGAAGACTTCACTGATTATTATTTTACTAACTTATAACACACAATAGTAGAGTATTTTGTGAATTCTTTGAGAGATTTTAAATGAATACAGTTACTTATATCCTTTTGAGTATGAGTAAAAGTATGATTTGCTCCAGCACAGTTGGTGTCTACTGCAACACGCTGCTCTTGGTAGACAAATTTAATTTGGACTACCAAAAAGTGGCACTGATTTAATGGCCACACGTAACTACCAAAAATGCATACATCAATTTCTAAGCACCAGTGTTCAGTTTGGTAAGGCTGCCACATCTATTGTGGAGCTAAAGAAAAAATAACCCCAAACCAAATGTTGAAATTTTCAATTTCGTTAATGACCCAAACGCCGTAAAGTAATTTATTTAGTTGCATATACCATCAACAAAGGCAACTACTCACACATATATAGAGACATACAAGCAATTGGTTCCTGTATTTGTATATGCATAAGACAAATAATGGCGCAGCAGGACATTGACAGCACTGGTCGTTCTGCGGGGTAATTGACTCAACTCGATTGCATGTCGTTGCATTTATGTGCAACTCCGCACAGTAATGAAGCGCAATTGTCAGTGCATTCGGCGTAGTACATTGCCCATGATTCCAGGCAATGTGCTTCCACAATTAATCATAAACACTTTAAGAACCCAGAGAAGAATGGAATCGTGCAAAAGGCGAAGAATTGTGAAGGAGTTACCACGTTCGCATTAAAATGACTTTTTACTATTTGTACTGATGTTTTGTAACATGTAACTAATTTCTTTTATTTTGTGGATGCATAGAAATCATTAATTTTGTATGAATATTGTTTTCTATCTTTTTTTCGAGTTCTTTCTTTATAGAGTTAACTTTTTATTAGGAACACGCCATACCATTACCTCTTGACCTGACGATTTTTATATTTTATTTACGGTGTAAATTGAAAAAAAAATTTCACAGAGAATTGTATACTTGGACCGCCTGTCGTGTTGTGGGTGTTGACACTCAGTGAGGTGTTTTTACTCTTAAAATTGAAGCTCACTTATTCTTATAAGGCTTCATACATACTGGACAGCTGTTATAACTTATAATTTATTTCCTTAAAGGTTATAGGCAAATACTATGTTATATTTTTTTAAATGAAAATTGGATTGAAAAAGCTTATAACTCTCTTATATTAGAAATAAATTTTAATTGGTTTAGCAGTATTGTTGTTCTTAGTATCTTTTTTTCCAGTTCAACAAAAGATATTCCTTTTTTAACTATATTCTTACAAGTTAATTTATGTACCTATAAATAAATTACAATTGGTTTACTTTAAATTTGATTAAAAACTACAATTATCATATCATCATACATAAGCACAGACAAATATTTTCTGTTTATTACCTAAATGTTGACTATTTCAATGTTAGTAATTGAATTTCAATTAAATCTCGCCTAAAATCTATAAAACCACATCCGTTCAATCAGTAATAAAGATAGGAAAATATAAAGGCAAAAGCTGGAAAGTCTAAGAAAAATTAGATTTTCCACTTATGCACAGCAAATGCAGATTACACTTTCCGCATATGAAATGTTCTATAATCCCAATAAGGCTACTAAACTGCTTTAAAGGATTAAATGCATTTGGAAAAACAGAAACTGAATGCACCGAAATATCAGAACTGCAGACTAATACGATGGAGCGGCACTAATTAATCGTATATCGAACACACACGTAAATGAATGGAACCGAAATAGCGCGTTGACAGATTGGTGCGTCCGTGCAGAGCAATGTACCCATATACTTGGTTACGTACAAGTCATGCGAGATTTTGCATGACTATATATTCCGGTGCATGCTGCATTATCTTAATTAAACTACAAAAAGGGGTATTAAATGTGAACTGCATACGTAAACGCAAGATACTCACATTTGGCAGTGAACGTGATGCATGAGAATTGAAATGCGGTTTACATAGATTTTGACTTATAGGTAAATGGAATGGGATTTAAGCTGTAGTGATGCGGTTCAGTGCAAAAAGGCACTTGACTAATGCCCATTTGTGAAATGACTTTTAATTTATTCCATTCAAACTATTTGGAAAATGTTTGAAATTTTGTTTGTCACTTTGACAGTTTATACGTTTGTATAATGACATGCAACTTTGATCAAAAAGCCAATCAGTCGTTGGAAAAAATGGGATTAGTAGTCAATTAAAGCAGCTAGGAATTCAATTTCTAAGTGACACTCATCGGCAATACAAATTTAATTAAATTTCAATAATTTTTTTATTGCCACTGGCAGCTAACTTAACCTCTAATTAATTTTACATGAAGTGTTAAGATATTTCCTCTATTTAACTAATTATCTATATAACAAATATAGACAAAACATATTACAATAAATTGGGATTTGTAGATCACAAGGACATATTACCTTAATGTATATAGAGTTCGATATCCAGGCATCTAAAGACTGGAATAATACCGTTAAAAGCCATATTTGAAAAATAGAAGACAACCCATAACTGCCTAGTCTGGAGACAAAAAGCGGTGACCTAACATTAACTTTGTATGTATTTATTTCAATAATTTACTTAAAAGTTCTAATATTTTTACTTGTTTAATATCTAGAATGATGTCAGTGAATCTGTATAATATTAAAATCTCTTCAATGTTCTTATGTACCCGTTTCTACGCGCAGTGCCATCTATTCACCACTATTTTAATGTATCACTTTGTATTAGAATAATGATGAAATCATTTTAAAGTACAATAATTGAACTCTTTTTAAAGTCAATCGAAACTCAATTCACAGTTGTACATGTATTCTGTAAATCTGCTTTTTTATTAATAATGGTTTGTGAGATAAATTGGTTAAAAGTATTTACCCAAACCTGATAGTCCCACAACTTAAAGGACAAATTTATCTTACCATAATGTGGTCTGGAATTTTATCCATTGACTTATTTTTAAAAATTTCATTTCACAGAAACATATTCACTTTATTCATAATTTAATAAAAAGGCATAATTGCTGCTAGTAATAAGTAATAAATCACTAGCTAAAGTAGTAAAGATGGCTTCATATAAAATACACAAGAATATAACTGCCTAACTGTCTAACTGAATATAATTAGACCAAAACAGAAAACAAAATGACCAGAGAAAAGATTAGGTAGAAAAGGACATATTTTCAGATAAATCCTCCATCTAATTTTCTATAACAATATTATAAGGTAATAACATCCTTTTGAAAAAAATGTTTACAAAATTTATCATACGAATTTCAAGCACAAAGACTTATGCTTCAAAAATTAAAATAAAAATTAAAAATTAATTAAAATGTATTTGGTGTTTCCATTTCCAATTAAAATGAAAAACAAATTTCACAAAAAAATTTTGTTGAACATTAAAAAAAAATAGTATTAAAAATAATGTTTAATTATGAGGGTCTAGACGTTCATTATCTCCTACAGGATCATCAATAGCTGTTTCTTCATCAGTTTCCAACTGATCTTCATCAACCTCTATGACAGATATAAACTCTTGCTCAGAATCATCACTGCCATGTTCGTCTTCTTCCGGGATATCCTCCAATTGAACTGCATTAATAACAGCTTGCATCGAAGCAACCTCTCCAGCAATCTGTTCAACATTCTCCAAACTAACTAGTAATTCATTATCGTTTATGTTTTCGTCTAGTTCTAGTATATCCTCCAACTGAAGTAAGCCATTAACATCCTCTACCATTGACATGACAGATTCAACTGCTGTAAAAACATCATTTGTAGTTTCCTCTATCAGCGATGAAGACTGCAATGGAACCGAACCACCAACATAGACATCACCATCTACATTGGAAGCAAGAGAATGAATATTACCAGTGGTATTTTGTACTTCCATCTCTGTACTTTGAGTAATATTTTCTGCATTCGCCTGATTTTCACTAGCGCCACCAGTAGATACGCGAGGGAGCTCGATATCACTACTACTATTATCACTTAATTCAGAGTCGGATTCTGAACCGTTACACGTTATAACTTGTTGCTCTGTTGCGTAACGAATCACGTACTGTCTAACCCGCGCATCGTATTGTTCCTTGTTTGTTTTGTATAAACTGGCTGCATTGAGATTTAAAGGATCATTTACATTTGGATCTCTCAGCAGCTCAGGCAGGAACATTTCAAATATGGTTCTCAAAGTATAAAGCGGCGTCCACGCCTCATATAGTACATTCATACAGATTGCACCTGATTGCTCTTTTATGTTTGGATGCATTATTCGGTTCTTGAATATTACTGTCGGTGCTTCATATGGATAGTTTCTTGGTATAATAACCCGAACTTTCCATACTCCGTTTTCGTACAATGAATCACATGGTCCTCTAAATTTCACCTCCAATTCATGTATATTGATAATATTAACATCGGGATTGTACTGTACCAGTTGCATTATGTCGTTATCAACCCTGCGTTTATTTGTGAAGTTTTCCATATTCTGTATTTGTACAGTTTATACAAAACGTAATGCTTGCAAAAATTTAATTTTTTCGTAACCAAAAAGTAAACGATGTTCTGAAAAAGAAAATTTATTCTGTTTCTATTATTTTATATGTTGAAGACGTAAATTTTTATATAAAACAGTTTACTATGATCAATTAAATTTCTTATGCAGTTATGTACTAGTAATACTGTTAATGTTTTGTAAGTTCGTGAATTACTATTCAGAAATACATATGTCTTTAATTGCGATGCCATTGAAATATTTAATCTTTCATATTAATATAGTCAAAATTTTAATCCAATTGGTTTAGATAGAGCCATTAAACACGAAATGGTTATTGATTTAGGTGAACACGACTTACGGATAGCTCTAATACTCGAGGCTTGTAAATATCGTAATTCTTTAAAAGTTGCAACCCGAGATCAACATCGAAGAAACTGTTTTATAAATATAAAATTCATTATGCAAAATGGTTTTGGATGTTCTCCAATTGATCAGACATACAGCAGTAGCAGTAGTTTTTTACATTCTATTATACACAGTATATTAAGAATTAAAATTTCAAAAAACTGTAGACAAATCTAAATCAAATCATATTGCTAAAGCGTGGTATTTAACAATTTCTTCTGCTCCGAACAGAGTTTATCTTCAGAAATCGCTTAGTAAACTTTTAGCGACTATTTTTCGGAATACAAAAGACATTTCAAAAGTAATTAATACTATTAACACTCTAAAACAGTTACTGGAACTTTTATTCCAAATTTTTGGACCAATTGTATCTAAACTTTCGAGATAAACCACATTTTGAGGGCTTTCTTGAATACTACATATAGAATCCATAAATAGAAGGATCAGAGTTTCTTTGAGGACATTCTAGAAAACAATTATAGAGGTGGGGAATCAGTAGAGTAGAGGAATCAGTAGAGTAAGTGTTTTAAAGTTTCAAATTCTTGAAAGTGAATTTCAACAACTTGAAGGAAATATTTATGTACGCGCGATTATCCTTGTGGAATTACTCAAAAAAATAACTCCATCTAATTTTTTCAGGTATGCTAATATTGGATCCGACTGATCTACTGCGGATGCAATCAAAATGCACTAAGTCTTCCTCAGGACTTAGAGTGAAGAATGTGCTCATTCTTAAGACTGAAATCCGATTTTTCGTATGCGCTCTAAAAGTTTGTTGAACAAAATAGTTTATATGTAGTCTACTGATGTCCCTCCTCTGAAACGCCTACTCAGTGTATATTAGAAGCATATTATAGTAACCTCTGTGCTGCATCACATTTAATGCTGGTATCGATAGTCGCTAGTTTTAATCGTCGGATAGATAGATTTTGTCAGTGTCTTATGAATTTTATTTTATATTGTTAAGATTATTAACTAATTGAAGTATACTATACTTGCAAAAACTTGAATTCATATTTATAACTAAATTTAATAAGATTTTATTTTATTTTAAATTAAAATTAAATATGTGCAACTCTCCCTTACTAGTTGTTGAAAGTTACAAAAATATATTAAGTGAACCTAATCAGAAGATGTCAGCAAAGCAAAATGTAACTCCACTTCTAAGTAAAGCCGCCTTAATAATTTCCGCTTTCCTTTAATTAACCACAAAAACCCTTTGAAGGGAACCGCAAATAAATGCCTATAAGCACTCAATAAGAATGTTGAGCAAACCGAAATCGACTTAAATTGCAACAAATAAATTTACATTGCATTTTGCGTATTTTAATGAAAAGCAAATAATCAAAGGATAATACAGGAAAAGGAATTCGCATGTAAAAGAAAATAAAATTCATTTCTCTGATTTATGTGTAAAAGGGGTAAGATATTATTGCATTCTAACCCTACTGTTTGCCAGAGGATATATCAGATACTGCAGTTGGAATATGTCAATAGCAAAGTAAATTGAAATCCTTATACCCGATGCATGGGATATGTCGGATTGTGTAAATTTCGAAAACTTGCAGGACATTTGCACTTCATTTGTTTTATGTAGCAAATTTGTAGTGGAACACGTGTTGCCACTAATAGAAGTTTTCTTTTGAGACGGTCACGTGCAACATAAGTATCAAGGGCCTTATTGGAAATGTTATGCTATATATTATAATCGTTCACATTTTTTATATATAATATCTTACTTCTTTTATATATTTTATTTTTTCCAGTAAAATAAGAGCAACTACAATGAGCTAGAAAGAAAATGTTCATTCCAAAGAATTAACATAGATAACGTCGGTGCTGGTTTGAAAAGATAAATGGAGGCCAATATTCAACAGAGATCATTACGTCATTAATGATGATATTTTTAGTTCATTTATCTTATTGCATTCCTAAGAGTTTCATTGAACAATCAACTCTGTGCAGTAATCCTAAAATTATGTAGCTAATATAATCTGACTCTACAACTTATGTAACCTTCTCGAAGTTATTTAAGTTTTCGAACTGCTATAAGTAGTTTACCCAATACAGGTACTGACTTGTATCATCACTTCGGTACTTCGGTTTTTCGCAGTCGCATAAACCCAAAAATTTTATCTCCACATTTCTTTAACAATATCCAACAGTGCGACTACGTGATTTTTAGTAAATAAGTTCGAATCTATATAACGTCTAACAATGTTGACTAAACGTACTGCCAGATTAAGTACTTGTATGGATGTAAATAGATAACATTTGCCTTAAAAAATGATTCTCTGATCTTAAAGACTTTAAACTTTTACGTGAGGTCTCACGTTTTATAAGTATTACAACATTAGATAATGTCAGAACACTGTTAATATCTGTACTGTAATATAATATCTGTAGATATTTGTCTATGCAAAATTTATAGTTTGAAGTCCCTGCTCCTGATAGTTATTTATTTTTGTTGTTGTACGTTTGGTAAACTCTTAATTATGCTGCACTTACCACTTCAATACTACACTTTTTATGCTGTTGTTTGAGTTATACTCCAGATAGCATTTCCAATAAAATAGAGTAAATGCGACTAAAAAAGAAATCAGACATTAATTATGACATTAAGATTAGATATTAAGATGCAAAGTTGACATTTTTCATGTCAACTTTTAAAATGGTGATATATTTAATACATACCTCATCAAAATATGAATATCCTCTATATGCATAATATAAACTATGCCAACGGTTTATTTTGTTTTATATAACAATAAATATCTATAGAAGTTCTTATTAATACTAATTGTTAAAATCAAATGTTTATAAGCAAATGTGACAAGTAATCCTACGCTTACTGTTTTATGCAATCGATATTTATTCACTTCTAAGATATAAGGGTTATCCACTTCATAGACCTGATTTCTTAGTACTGTTTCGGTGACATGTGTTCAACATAATTGCCATTTTGAAAGGCATAATCTTTTAAAACAGTAAGGACTAGATACGAGAATGACGAATCTGTACCAAATACATTTCGCATCGAGTTTTCTTCGGTGATAAGAATTTTTTACATGGTAGATAGTAAACAAATATAATATATATCAGGCTTCAAAAATAAGACGATTGTTTCCATGACAAGTTGATGTTTGATATGATTTTGATCTGGAGGTGTGATAAGCACATAGTTTTCTGAATATATGGTGTCAACAAGATCGAGCCACACACAACACGTCTTGTGTTGGCTATATTTTCGAAGAAACTATTTCGTTTCGCTGAGTTTTGAGCTTATGGGAACAATTCTTAAACTGCGGATACATGAAAAATGATCATGTATCAATAATATATGATGTTGTAGAGCCGAACTATCATAGAAGACCATCATATCATAGTACTTTAAATTCCTCAATGAGAATATTTGAACGAAGTTTTAAATAAAACTTCATGATATGATCCAGACAATATAAATAAAATTAATTTAGATGAACACAATTTAATTCTATGTATTTGTTCGTATGTAAATTGCATACGTTGAATTAATTAATACAGCTTTAACATGTAGAATCAACAACTACTCATCTTAGTAATGTATTAATTAAATAATATATAATTTAATATAATAAATACAGTAATATAAACTACTTAGAAATACAAACACGTTCTTTTTTTAGCTTAGTCTCATACCTTATTTTAGAGGTATCTGTTTTTGACAACCAGATGATACCAAGTTATTGATATATATATATTTATATATATATTCAGTATTATTCAGCATAAATAAATTTTATAACTTATATATAGTAGTATGTAAGTTCCATATCTCCTTCTTAGTATCCGTTTTGTCTAGTGGGGCTTAGAGCCGCAACCATTCTCTTAAACCGCACCCTGTTAGGTACTTTTCTGCATATATCGTTTCATGTGTAGTGCGCTTCTTTCATTTCTCTTTCAATTGTCATTCTCCAAGTTAAAGCCGCATATTAAAAAATTAATATCGTATTTCATAATAAAGTTTCAGACACACTACTTAAAACATCCTAGGTGCAAACAATCACATTTTTATTTTTTATATAAAACATATGTCAATATTTATTACTACAAATTTTAATACTGTCTTTTAGTTCATTCATTCCATGTTTGTTTTTCAAGTGCTAGCTTAAATTCTTAAATTTAGTTCAAAATATGATAACAATCCCTTATAGTCTCAAACAATAAATAATAAAAAAATTAATTGTCACAAAATTCCTGAAATAATTGTAGGCGTCAAATATGCAATCATAAAACACTTGGTTCAGGTTGAGCTTGTGACCACCGCAGACATTTAAAATTACAACATATTTTAGGTCTGCAATTTTCTGGTTTATCTCCGTCAAAATATCTTCAACAAAACATACAACAGAAAAGCGAAAAAATTCGGTCGAAAGTCAAACCATCCGCAGACAACCCTTAACAGACTATTAGGTTGTTCAAAATGATAGCGAGCAGATACTCGTAATAATAAAAGCGAGTAAGACGAAATTTAAAATCGCGATCTAAATTAAGATAAACGTCAAATTAGCGCTTATATGCATATTGTGTAATTACTGGCCCTGTCTTTTACGGTTCTACAGGGTGCGCTTCCACTGTAACTGCGGCGTTATCGGAGTAAATTGATCATTTGTCACAGATGTTTGGGCGCTGCTTAAAATCGGCTTGGCTTTTCAGTTCTGTTGATTATTGTTTGCTCTTCTAGCCAAAAAGGGTTCATTGTATTGTTTCCACTTTGACTTTGATGACTTAACATTTACTCCTGATTGTACTGAGGCGGCTACTGGTGTTCCAAATATTGGTCGGTTAACCTTATTGGGTTATTTATTTTGTGGCTTGCAAATAGCTCATAAGTGCATATTGCCTTTTTAATAGTTTAACCCTTTTGTAATGAATTTTGACTTATGGCATGACTTTTTAAATTTCAGATAATGTAATAGTGACATATTGACTTATGATGTTATCACTTAGTTTTTTAGTTTTTGTTATTAAATATTCGAAGAATGCAAAAAGATTCAAAGCAACCCGTTTCAATACTGAATTGGGTGTGATATTTGCTTGAATATTATTTTTATTTTATTAACTTTTATATATATTTATTAAATCTAATATATGTTTATATATATATCAATAGCTTAAAGTAGTTGAAGTTGATAATATTAATAACTTAATAATTAATAGTTAAATGGTTACTCATTCAATTACTCTATACTATTATTTATATATATTTTTGTTCTTACTTAAACTTAGTTATACTGTTTCTGAAATATGTTTTTCTTGTTTTTACTTTAAATGGTGTCCATCCATATACATTGTGACCGAAAGGTTTTCGGAAATTCTCATTTAAAATTCGCGCGCTGTATATTTTTCGATATTTTAAGTTTATGTAGTTTGGCAGCACTGTCCTTAATTACTATGCCAAAAAATGAGCGCGATCTGTCGGACAGTTCGTTTACGGCAGCTGTTGAAACCAGTTCACCTCAGTAGTGCGTTGCGAAAAAAACAATGGAAAAAAATATTGAACAAAGAGTTTGCATCAAATTTTGTTTTTCGAACGAAATTTCGTGTGCAGAATCGTTGCGAATGCTACAAAAGGCTTATGGGGAATCAGTTTTATCGAAAACTCAAGTTTATGAGTGGTACAAAGCCTTTCAGGACTGTCGTACGACCGTCGAAGACATGCCGCGTTCTGGACGACCTTCGACCTCTACCACCGACGAAAACATTGAAAAGGCAAAGGAAATCGTGTTCAAAAATCCTCATGTGAGTGTTAGAGAGATAGCACGAGAGCTAGGCATCGGTCGTGAGATGGCTCGTTTGATTTTGGTGGACAATTTGTGTATGCGACGTGTCAACGCCCGGCTTGTTCCGATTCACCTCAATTTGTTCAACATTATCAACGATTTTAAGGCCAAACATTCAATAAATACCATCGAACAGCCACCGTATTCACCTGATCTTGCACCGTGTGACTTTTTCCTGTTTCCCAACCTCAAATTACCACTCAGAGGAACGCGTTTTGAATCCATAGAAGACGTAAAACAGAATTCGCAGAGGGAACTCAAAGCCATACCGGAAAGCGCCTATAAAAAATGTTTGTGATGATTGGAAGAAACGTTGGCATTTGTGTATCGCTTCTAATGGAGCATATTTTGAAGGAGAAAAATAAAATATTGATGAAGGTTAAGAATTTTGCGTTTTATTTAAAATTTCCCGAAAACTTTTCGGTCACAATGTATATTATATAGTAAGAACAGTAGTAGTATTATTCTTTATTAAATTGCTTAACAATATGTGTGCAAAAAAGTACTATAAACTAGTATGATATGATAACATATAATCTAAACTAGCATGATATTTTCCATTATTCGAAATTGACTTTTACCTTCAGTTAAATTGATATATATAAAAACATTTTATGTAGTAAAACCATTATTTTTATATATTATATAATTAAGAAATAAAAAAACTCTTATAGGTAGCTTTTATTGAAATCGTACTTGACAGATCTAAGCGCAGAATTAGTAATGTAATATTAGAAAAATTTAATCCATAAGTTCCTTTATTATAATTATTATTTTGATACATAAATTAGATGACTACGAGATAGTCCTGGTTGATTTGTTCATTGGTTGCAGTAGCAGACCATTAGATAATTTTCATATAGCTTAATTAGCGTTTTTTCGCCGTTTTGGTACCACATTCCTAATATACCAACAATATCTAATAATTTAGAATAGTAACCCCTAATCCCTAGTATAGAAAAATATCCACTAAATCCATCCAGTCGAATTTAGATAATGAAGATAATTAAAATAATTTTAAATAATAATTAGATTTAGGTCGTTCGTGTTCACCGATGAACACTCAGATAAACTGTTAAAGAAAAGTCTTCCTAAAAATCCTTTTTTTCTGAGCATCGAAACCGAGCATTCACAGAGAAAATTTTTTATGGTTTATTTTTCCTACAGGTTTTCAGAACTACTGTAGTGAGGATTATGAGGAATGCGCAGTTTCTCTGCATCGGTTTCTGCAGGTTCTGGTTTAAACCAATGACTACAAAGAACTGCAGTAAGCCTTACAGTGGTCTCGCGGTCTCCTTTGATGAGTTCCCAGAATCTAGTTTCATTATAGGTGTCCCATGTTAACCCGGAAGTTGCACAGTACTTAATTGTTTCCATATGTTATTATCAAATTTAAAAAACTAGAGGTAAATACTTCTCATAATGGTCTCTACGGTAATATAAATGGCACCGCAAGAGGACTGCTAAACAGTTTTACAAGATGAACTCATCTACTTTGAAATTAGCTATAAAAAGTGTATTAAAGTGAAGTTTTTGCTTATATTATGTATTCGATACATATTTGGAGCCTTAACGAAGATAATAGCTTCTTAAAATAAATTTCTTTTTTAACATAATATCCATACTCATTAGAGTGGCCGTAAAAAATTTTTTTTTGTTTTTCATATGTTTCTGCTTGTTAAAATATTCCTTTTGATGATAAATTAAGGAAAATAAAATTTCAGATCGATCGCATTGTGCCAACCCGTGCCGAGTTGAGCTCAAAGTTGTAAAATTACCTCAATATAGAAAAAGTCATCAAAATTACTACTTTGCTCGTAAAATATATTACTAACAGTTTTATTTCAGGAATATTTTTGACTAATTTACATTATTTAAATGTTTTTACGTTATGATATTGAATTCACTTACGTCTGTTTATATTCCCTACATAATTTTTGATACGAAGTAACAAAAGCTGAGTAGTAACATTGCTGTTATAGTTGTTTTTTGACTCTCAAATTGACAACGAGAAAAAAGTTTAACGATAATTGATCATTTACGTTGCGAAAATTAATCTGAATTGATATGGATTCCGTTTCATCTTTGCAATCGAAATCATCTCTAAAGCGGCTTAGATCCGATGATGATAATATATGGTATTTTTAATAGGAAAATGTGAAAGTGAAGTCTTTGGAGCAAACTTGCCGTCAATGAAGCAAGTATGTTACTTCAACTGCTTTTCTATAAAATTCGTGTTGAACACAAAACCTTGAAACGAAGTTTTAGAAATGTGATTGATTCCGTATTACCATTTTGGCAAAAGGCTCGTATTCCTACTCTAACTGAATCTAATTGCCAAAAAAAATTACAAAAATTGTACGATGAGTGGAAAAAGTAGCAAATCTCCACACGAAAAATGCCGAATCAGAGAAAAAGAGTTCCGTGAAAAGATAGAACATTTTATATTCGATATCGCAGTACCTACTGCTGTTAAAACAATGAATATCCATGAAGATAAAGATTTCTTGAGTCAACAAAGAAAGAAAGGCCGACCAGGAAGCATAGCAGGCATTGATAAAAAATTATCACAAAAAGAAAAGCGCAAGTTAGAACTATTAGAGAAACTTGATAAACGTAAACAGCAATATATGGAAGATTTATGTACAAGCGTTCCAGGTAATAACATATAAGAATCAATGATTGACGTTTCTTTATTTGTTTTCAATAATCATACATGAAAGTATATTTTTCGAATAGCAGCGACAGATTCTAGACTCGATATTGAGCATAGCGATAATAGTGAAGATTTTATGGAATATCCATCGTCCTCGGAAGTAGCAATAGAAGAAGATATTATAATTGGAATACCAAATAGTCATTTACGAGGAAAAATACATTTCATTGATGATAGAATGCTTGCTTGAATGGATAAATCTAAAACTTCTACTAGAGATGCGATTCATTTCATAAGTGCAACAGCAGCTGCTTTAGGTCATCGCGTAGAAGATCATGTTCTGAATCGTACAACTGTCCACCTGATGAGAAAAGAATACCGACGCAGAAAAGCGCATGATATTTTGAAGAATTTCGATGTAAATTAGTTAAAGTTTTTTCTTTTTAAGTTTTATTTAAGATATTTAATTGCAGATCCCTTAAGTTTTTGTATTCCATTGGGATGGAAAACTTCTACCAGAAATGAAGGGTAAAGAAAAGGTTGATCGACTTGCTCTTGTCGTCACAGGAGAAAAAACCGAAAATATGTATACTTGGTATTTCGAAACTAGATAACAGCACTGGTAACAAAATCGCACATGCAATTGATCAATTTTTAATTACTTGGGAATTAGACAACTTAGTTGAATTTATTTGCTTTGATACAACAAGTTCTAATACTGGTATTCACAAGGGTGCCGCCTTTTTGCTCGAGCAGAAATTGGGGCGTGAATTACTTTTTCCTCATGCTGCCGTCATATCAGCGAAATATTTCTAAAAGCTGTTTTTGAACTGAATTTTGGTATCTCATCGGCTCCAGAAATTTCAATTTTTAAGCATTTTGCTGACGGCAAAAGAATTAAACGCCATACGGAATATTTGTATTTTTCTAACTCGCTATTACATACAGTATTGGTTAACATGCCAGCACGCAATTGAAGCACCACGTAGGGATTTACAACTAATTAAAGATGCAATCCAGTATTTTGATAAACGAATTTCAGCGGTTTTATTAGAAAAATTCAAAAATCACTTGTGGTATTTGTCAGAAGAAGCTCAGCACTTTTCGACTCTGAAGTTCCACTGAATACTAAAGGAAAGATGATTAAGGCTTTGGAAAAAACTAAAGATGACGATATTCCATGTTCAAAAAAATTCGAAACCACAATCGAAGACATAATGAAGCTCGAAGATAAGGATCTCAGCTATTTTGTTACTTGTAAGACGAAACGACTTTTTCTTCGATTGGAAATTAGCTCCGATTTTTTAAAGTACGATCCGTCATCATGGGGTGAAAGAGGTGATTATTCTTCTGGCCTGCAAATTTGTAAAAACCTGACAGTTGTAAACGATCCAGCAGAAAGAGCTGTTAAGTTAATCACTGACTTCAACTGAGCCTTAACATATGACGAAAAAGACAAACAGTTTTTATTGCAAGTTGTTGAATATTATCGACACATGTATCCATCTCATACTAAATCGTCACTACTAAGCCGAAAACATGAAAAATTTTAAAAACTAGAACAGTAAAACAAACAAAATAGAATATAATTAGGTGAAAACATATAAATAATGTAAATTAGTCAAAAATATTCCTGAAATAAAACTGTTAGTAATATATTTTACGAGCAAAGTAGTAATTTTGATGACTTTTTCTATATTGAGGTAATTTTACAACTTTGAGCTCAACTCGGCACGGGTTGGCACAATGCGATCGATCTGAAATTTTATTTTCCTTAATTTATCATCAAAAGGAATATTTTAACAAGCAGAAACATATAAAAATCAAAAAAAAATTTTTTCCCATACAACTTATGGCCAGTCTAATACTCATATCCCACAGATCTGAGATAGAAAACTTTTAGCTTTTACAAAATCTCTCTTCATCTCTCCTCACCATATTTTGTATTTTGATCATGAGTTGTAGAGTTGATCCAGTATTTTGAAGTCCATATCGTGAATTATATTTGTCCTACTATTTTCTTACAAATCTGTTGATTAAAGAATCATTGTTTTTGAATGACCATATTTATCTGATATATTCTTCATTTTCGTATGCTTTTTCCTTGACCATTAAAATTTTGTTTATAAGAATTTGATTGGTATACGATATTCAAATTTTTCTAGTGTTACTACAAACGTCTTGTAATAAGAGAATTTATTTGACAAGGCGGAGTAAATTTCTAAATGTCTAATTCTAAATATCATAATATTGAAATGGTTCACAAATTGTAGTTCAATTATTGAGAAATAGATGGCGCTTTATAAACCGATTGAAAAAACCTAAAATATTATATTTAAAAAGCACTAGCAATAAAATCTGCATAAGAAAATTATTTGATCATAGTAAGCTGTCATACTTAGAATTTTTACATTAAATATTAAAAACAGAATATATTTGTACTTTCTTAAAATCGTTTCAAATTTTGTTGACGAAAAAACAACAAAATTATTCTACAACTGACATTTTGTGTACACTGTGTATAAGAATAATTATAATGGAGCGATTCATCCACAAACATAGAGTTGATAGCGACATAATGCAACTGGTTCAGAGTAACAATGAAGCCAATATTATCAATGCGCATGAACTCGAGGTAAAGATTAAGGGACCAATTGAATCGTTGTATGAAAATGGTGTGTGGGTCGTTCGTGTTCTTATACCCAAAAGATATCCCTACAGGCCTCCAGCAGTTATATTTAAAAGTAGAATCTTGCATCCTAACATTAATGAGCAGTCAGGAGCTATCTGTATGAACGTACTGCATGAGGCATGGACGCCGGTTTTCAATTTGAATATCATATTCGAGTCGTTTATACCAGAATTGCTGAGAAATCCAAATGTAAATGATCCTTTGAATATAAGTGCAGCATCTTTATACAAAAAAAATAAGGAGCTATACGATGCGCGGGTTAGGCAGTACGTGATTCGTTATGCAACAGAGCAACAAGTTACAACTAAGGGCGAATCAGAACCAGCATTAGATTTAAGTGATAATAACAGTATTGATATTGATATTGAGTTTCCGTCAGTAACTAGTTTTGGCATTAGTGATGCTCAGGCAGCTGCGGAAGATGTTACTTTGAATGCACTTAATCTTGAAGCCGAGATGGAAGAACAAACTGCTGCTGGTAATACTCGTTCTCTTTCTTCCAATGTGGTTGGCAATGCAGATATTGGTGGTTCGGTACAATTACAATCTTCATCACTGGTAGAAGAAACTACAAATGAAGTTTCTACACCAGTCGAAGCTGTACTATTAATAGTAGAGGATGTTAATAGCTTAGTTCAGTTGGAGGATATACCAGAATTAGACGAAAACATAAACGTTGATGAGTTACTAATTCCTTTCGAGAATGTTGAACATATTGCTGGAGAGGGTGATGTTGCTTCGATGCAATCTGTTATTAATGAAGTTCAGTTAGAGCGCATTTCGGAAGACGACGAACGTAGTAGTGATGATTCTGAGCAAGAATCTGTTATAGATGCTGACGGAGATCAGTTGGAAAATGATGTAGAAGAGAGTCAAGTACCTGGTGTTTCTGTTGTAGAACTTATTAATTTGGAATCTGGCGAAGAAGTTTTTATTCAAGATTCTTTTGCAGATGACGACGGACCTGATATTGAAGATTAGTTTAAAAAAAACTAAGGACGTTGTTGTTTGGTTGTTTTTATTTCTCTTAATACACATAAAACAAATATTTTGCTATAGAGATTTTTTTTATTTTAAATTAAGCCAATACTAATATTCATTTCATGCGAAAAATTGACATGAAATTTCATAAAAAAATTTCTACAAATTTTGACATTTTAGACAAATTTTTTTTATATGATATTTAATGTCAATTTTACGTGCGGAATGGATATTTGTAAAAGGCCTGAACGTGGAAATATATTAAATAAATTTTAATAAATGATATGCGTACATGTGTATTTTATTAATTAATTTTTTATTTTTAAAGCCACACAAAATAACATTGTACAAGATCTTGAGTGATTTTGTTTAGTGTTGTTGTTGTGGTTTGAGTTAGTGCTATTTGATTCTTTCATGGTTGTAGGGCTTATCACTAACCCACACTAAGCTTTAACTATACTAGAGTTATTATAATCAGCATATCTTTCTGTGCATCCTGAGGAGGTCTGTTAGGGTTGGGCAACGTATCGACTTTTGTGAAAAATTTTAGGGCTGTGTCCTTGTTATATTTTTTCACTGAGTCGATCCTTAGATCCCTGCATATCTGTTGCCCTAATATACCAAGGAATCTTAATTAGTCTTCTTAAAACCAAATTTTGTGCTATCTGTAATTGCTTTATGGCACTATTTGAGGCTTTGCTGTATGTTACACATCCGTACAGTAATGCTGACCTAATTATTTGAGTTTATAATAACTTTCTATTTTTGAGGTTGAATCGATTATTATTAAACAGCGGCTTTAGGAGATGTAGATGTTTAGTATTATACATCTGTTAGACTACAAAGATTATTTATTATGTATTATATGATAAAATATAGTGCATACCTATAACAGGAATTGGGTAGAATTTCAAATGTATTATTCTAAGGATTTGGTTTACTAGTTAAATGTAATCAAATGTTTAAATTCGTTACTTATTGTTTTGGCTGAGGTCGTCTTTTTGAATGTGGTTAATACTTCATCATGTCTCAAAAAACATTATTATTAATCATTATCATTATTTAATTTTTAAGCATAAGTGACTGGTGCTTTCGATTGTTTGCCTCCGTTAAAAATAAATCAACTAAATAAAATCACAGATCGCGCTAAGATGACTTCAGTCGATGAAAAAAATTTACATGCGTCCCTTGAAATAGATGCTTTAATCTGTCAGCATCATTTTAAGGTTTTAATCGCCTTGAGCGACTTTCAGAGACTGCCGTCGGCTCGAAGACTATATATATTTGATTCTTATGTATAATTGTGGGTCCAGGGATGTATAATCCACTTACCAAATGGATATGTTATCATATTGTCATATATATAATCAGAGTTTAGATAAATATGAACAAATCGGAAATTGTGAATAGTTTTCCGAAATGAATTTCGGGTAAATCCCGAATTCTAGGTAAATATGCGAATATATTTTGTACAAAAAAAAGTTTGAGATTTGGAAATATTAAACTAAATAATTCACTTATTAAAAACTAAATTTTTTTTATTAAAATTCAATTAACCGTTCTACATCTTATAACAAAAAACAATTAATTATAATTGCAATATACAACAATTATGCATTATTACGATAGTTTACACTAATTTCAGAAATTTCTTTCAATGGGTCAATTAACACACCAAAGATATCTATAGATTTTTGTTATATTATATACATGCAAGAATGATGATAGAACCTTTCTTGATATACAGATATGTTATAATGAATTTGAAGAAGCAGGAAATTTTTATTAAATGTTTATACGAGCACTTACGGATTGTTTATATTAAAAATTTTCTCTCCATGAACGATCATTATTGTGCAAACAATTCCATACAAACCTATATAAAGTTAACGATGCATTGAAGCGTTCATAATGCTCATAATGAGGCTCATAATCTCTGACATTATTGCAGAAGTGTTATAATCACTCTAACCTAAAAATAAAATCATTTGACGAATATATGTATGTTGTCATATACGTATATATTTATTTTTATTTGATTAGAGTGAAAAATATGTATTTGTTAGTATTATTTTCTTATTCAAGTGAATTATACCAAAATATATGATATCGTTGTTGGTTAGTATGTACTGTACACACCTCACTCCATTACCAAGGGAAAAATATTTTCATGCCATACAAAAACGTTTTAAATAACAACTATTTGTAATCAATATAAATAAAACAAAAATTTTAAAATTTTCAAAATATTTTTTATTTTATCAAAATAATTTTTTATTATTACCAAGATTTTTAAAATTTTATTTTATATAAGTAATTTTGTTAAAGTTAAAATACTTTATTTTTGTGGTCTAAAATTTTTGAAATTGTATTGGTTAATTATATATTTTTGTTTTTGTATAAAATATGTATTATCTGTTTCATAAAATAATTTTTGTGGATTTTGTTTTCTGTATTAAGTTTAATATTTTTATTTTTTTTATCTTTATTAAATTCTTAAATTGTTTGTATAATTCGTTCTGAGTTTGTACAATTTTGTTGCAGTTTGTTGTGGAATACAAAATTCTGTTTTCTGAGTATAAATAGACATGGAATACATTAATTAGTAATAGTAATTTTTATTGTATAATATTTGTAATTTTATTATTAACGCTATTTAATTAAGTACATTTAGTTACTATTTATGTAGTCTGTTTATAGTAGAGAAAATGAAAGTTTGACATCTTAGTTTAGGTATAAAAAATTCTTTTTTTTTATTAAATATAGCCAATATTATGACTTTACATTATTTCTTTATACATTAATATAAAGTTTTTATATATGACAGAGAGAGAGAGTTGTAGGATTAGTTGGAAAAGATTTAGGTTATATGATAAAAAACTGTAAAAATTATATGGAATATTAACAAAATTAAATTTTCTTTTTTATTTAATTAATTTTTATTGAAAAAAATTTGTGATTTTTAAATGAAAACTATTAATTATTTTTTATAAATTATTTTATATAATGAATACATTTCTCAAAATATTTTAACATTTTATGGCTTTAAGTAGGTGCATATATAAATATAAATCAAATTATATAATTAAAATATTCTTCAAGTACATATTTTTATAAATTATTTCGGGATCAAAAATATAAAAAAATATATTAATTATTAAATAAAAATATCAAAGAATTGTACTATTTATTAATAAAAATTATTTGAATTAAAATTAATAAAATTTTAAATTTATAATTTTATAAAATTATTTAATAAAATTCAAATTTAATAATTTTAATTAATAAAATTCAAATTTTATAATTTTAATTAAATATAAAACTTGTGAAGTCTTTCTTTTGTATATAAGAAGATGCTGCGGTAATAAAAAAAATTTTTATTAATAATTAATAAAATAATTAATAAAAAATATTTTAATTATAAAAATAAATTCGTAATTATAAAAAAAAGTCATTACACTTGAAAATATGAACTATTACAAAGCCAATATAAATTCAAATGAAAAAAAAAGAAAAAATTAATACAAAAAAATAAAAATCATCTAAGATAAATTAGTAAATTTTTGAGGAAAAGAGTGAATCAAAAATAACATTTTCGTAATATGTTAAATAAAATTTAAAAATCATATAATTTATTTAAACCTATAATTTCTTATAATGTTATAACGCTATTAATTTCATTTTGTATACTTAATCAAAAATTAAATAAATGCAAATTATTTTTAAAATGTGGAAAATATAATTTTTAACAATTAACAAAAAAAAAATTTACAAAATATATAAAAAAAAAAATAATCAAAAGTTAAATAAATAAAGAAAAATAAATTAATAAAATAAATAAACATTTAATAAAATATAATTCAAACTATTATGATACAAAAAATAATAAAGAAAAAATAATTATAATTTCACAATAATTTATATAAACTTTCCATATTATTTTTTTTTCACAGTTTCATTAAAAATCCCTAAATCATTTCCACTATATTATATTTCTTATTGTTTATTTTAAATAATTTTAGTTGTGATTTACTAATTAAGCAATTGAATGTATCTGTACAGAAAAAATTCAAAAAAAATATATATTAGAACTATTTTTCATTACTTATACAATCCGAAACCGACTTCTCTTATTAACACTAAAAAAATCCTCCAAAAAAAAGTACATCGAAAATATCTCAACAAATATCAGTTTTTCAAGTTACCATCACTTTTGCTTTTACTTAGTATTTTTTTTTATAAATATTAAAATTTTTTTAACTTTCTTGCAGTTTAACTAATTTTGCAAAATAATTTATTATGAATAAAATATCTTACAATAATTTCCGTTTTATTTGAATCACATTGCGCTTTGATTGAGCCTTTGTCTTCGCTATTTATACAAACCAAACAACTGAATGGGCCAAAGGATATGGGCCACCAAAAATATTTCGTTGTCTGTTAATAAAAAAAAAATTTACTGAATTTTGTTAAGTTTGGATTTAGTTTCTCTCCTGCTTAGGTCTACTTCCATCAGTCGTATCAGTTGTTGGACGTGTTGGACTTGTTGAACTTCTTGGGCTTTGTACTGATGTTGGCTGCTCCTGTTGCGTTGTAGGTGTAGTTGATGCATTATTACCGCTGATTTCAAATGATATTTGTATAACCGTCGGATTTAGATTGGAGGATTCATTATAGAAACGCAATGCATAGCAAAAGACTTGTGTTATTAAATCCCAGCAACCGACGGTACGGTGGGTAGAGCCATATGAAGCCAATGGAATTGTTATATTAGCACGAAAATTGTTTGGTTGTTCCTGTGGTCGGTGAGATTGTTCTTCGTTCGCATTTCTGGCAGGATTTGTTGCATTAGGATCAGCACTGCTTGTATTCTGATTGGAGTTTTGTGTACTACTTGCATTGTGGTTGTTGCTATTGTTGCTAGATGAATTTCCAGCAATCAGTTTCGATTGATCCGGTATATAGTAAGCAATAGCCATTGTAATTATTTTTTTGAATTTCAATTGATTGTTTAAAAATTATTAAGTATAATTGACAATGTTTCAGAAAATGTCTTTTGTATTAATAATTAATTTATTTTTTTACTTTCAATGCACACACCGATTCTTAAGTCTTTTCTCTATGTTTAGTTGTAAATAAATTAATCAAAATTTATTTTTTTAAATTTTTAAATGCTTTTAATAATAAAAAATTGTTAATTGTTCATTTTTAAATTATTTCATTAATGCAAATTAATTCTTTTAAATTGTAACACTTTGGCGCCAAAAGTAAATCAACTGAATACCGTTACGTATTCTCTTCACGTGACTTTCCTTTACGTAAAAATTTCTTGCCAAAGCTAAAAGTACTGGAGACAAATAATATTTTCTTTACTCAATGGAAACTTGCTTTCAAGTCCGTTGTTCTTAATAGACTAACTGCAATATCCTGATTGCAGTGACTTTTATAAAATTGCTGCTTCCTGCATGTAAATATTTTCTGACAAGCAAGCAACAGAGCTGAAATAGCACAACGTAACTTTCACCCCCAAGAGTATGCAATACGAAAACACCACCGAACGCGAAAGCAAAGCACGAAGTTCTTTGAGAGAAGTCACAACCGCCAGCCGAATGGGAGTAATTCACCGAATTCGAGTTCGCTCAACCCCCTTTTTCTTATATGGTAGAATGTTCTGTAATATTCGAATTTCGAAAATGCTAGTATATTTTAAAAATTACAATTTGCTAGAAAAAAATGTGGAAAGTATATTCGAAAAGGGGTTGTAGGAATAGTGGAAAATATTTCGAAGTTTATTTAATACTCATAAATACTTTTGTGTGGAGAACTTCGAAAAAATGTAAAATTATTTTAAGCATTTAGAAGGAGAACAATTTCGAATGTGTTTCTTAACTCTACTAAGCTTAAGGGACTATTCTCGTATTTGGATCAAATTGAAAGGAAGCATTTCGAAATATGTAATGACTGTTGAATATGCAATGAGTATTATTTATATGAGTAGTTATACGTATCTCCAACTTATATGTAAAACTGTGTATAATATATTATATTGACAATATTAATGATAATATTTTAATACAAATAAATATGTAAAACTCTGTTTGATTTATATTAATTAATAAAAAAATCATTTAAAATTCTTATAGCTATACATTACGTAGAATTTAATAATAATTAGTACCACTGTTAACATCAGTAGTTGGCATTAATCTCTAAAAATAGAATTTGATATATAACGAATTTATTTCTGAATATATTTTAAATGATTATTTTCTACAGCATTATTTTATTTAAATGTAATTTAATGTCAGTTATGGCGGTAGTGACTATTTTATTTAAAATAGAAACTATTGCATTTGTTAGATAGGTTCGAAAAGTAGTGAATTAGAACAACAAAAATTCTTTTTATATTATTTTAATTAATTAAAAGTTTTAGCTAGCCATACAGCTGTTTCGAGTATTACTAAATACCCATTATCATTAGTCTTGGAATAATTTTTTTATATATCAATCCTATTTTATTAATAGTCGATATTTTGATATAATTTTAATATACATTGTGACCGAAAAGTTTTCGGAAATTCTCATTTAAAATTCGCGCGCTGTATATTTTTCGATATTTTAAGTTTATGTAGTTTTGGCAGCACTGTCCTTAATTACTATGCCAAAAATGAGCGCGATCTGTCAGACAGTTCGTTTACGGCAGCTGTTGAAACCAGTTCACCTCAGTAGTGCGTTGCGAAAAAAACAATGGAAAAAAATATTGATCAAAGAGTTTGCATCAAATTTTGTGTTTCGAACGAATTTTCGTGTGCAGAATCGTTGCGAATGCTACAAAAGGCTTATGGGGAATCAGTTTTATCGAAAACTCAAGTTTATGAGTGGTACAAAGCCTTTCAGGACTGTCGTACGACCGTCGAAGACATGCCGCGTTCTGGACGACCTTCGACCTCTACCACCGACGAAAACATTGAAAAGGCAAAGGAAATCGTGTTCAAAAATCCTCATGTGAGTGTTAGAGAGATAGCACGAGAGCTAGGCATCGGTCGTGAGATGGCTCGTTTGATTTTGGTGGACAATTTGTGTATGCGACGTGTCAACGCTCGGCTTTTTCCGATTCACCTCAATTTGTTCCAAAAACACCATCGTGGACAGGTCTCGTTAGACATGCTTGATCGTGCCAATTCCGATCCAACTTTCATGGAACGCATCATAACGGGTGACGAGACATGGGTCTACGAGTACGACATGCAAACAAGCCAACAATCATCGGAATGGAGAGGAAAAGACGAGCCGAAACCGAAAAAACCACGCCAAAGTCGCTCGAAAATCAAGGCAATGCTGATTGTTTTCTTCGATATTCGTGGTGTGGTGCATCATGAATTCGTCCCTGAAGGACAAACAGTCAATAAAGCCTATTATTTGACTGTTTTAAGACGTTTGCGTGAAAATATCCGCCGTAAACGGCCTCAATTGTGGAAGGATAATTCATGGATTTTTCATGACGATAATGCTCCCTCGCACCGAGCCAACATTATCAACGATTTTAAGGCCAAACATTCAATAAATACCATCGAACAGCCCCCGTATTCACCTGATCTTGCACCGTGTGACTTTTTCCTGTTTCCCAAACTCAAATTACCACTCAGAGGAACGCGTTTTGAATCCATAGAAGACGTAAAACAGAATTCGCAGAGGAAACTCAAAGCCATACCGGAAAGCGCCTATAAAAAATGTTTTGATGATTGGAAGAAACGTTGGCATTTGTGTATCGCTTCTAATGGAGCATATTTTGAAGGAGATAAAATAAATATTGATGAAGATTAAGAATTTTGCGTTTTATTTAAAATTTCCGGAAACTTTTCGGTCACAATGTAATGTGTAATAAAGTAATATTAAGAAAGTACAAGAAAAATATTTTACTATATAGTCTGTATATTTTTATATAACACACGGAACACTAACGATCATATCATCCCAATCGGAGACAACAGATAATCCATGCGCCATACAACTGAAAATCAAACCTCAAAACACATCTGAAATGTATTGAGTTTCGTTTTCTATTCGAAATCTATATCAAATTTCAATAATTTGTTATCTTGCTTAAATATTTTTTATTAAAAAAACTAACTCCCGTTAAGAAATTCCAATAAACTGTCTTGAGCTATATTATATATTATTTGACAGGGTATTTTTCTTTTGTTGGCTAAAGCTCTTTCAAATACACTGTGTGTCTCCATATTTGTACCATGTTTTATGTTACCTGAACCTATAAATTACATATCGCATTTTACTAGGAAATAATGTACATATATTTCAATATTGTTATATTTTTTTAATGTCTGTGCTTTTGGTTATATAAATTTTTATTTTATTTAATTACAATATATATTATTTTATTTTAATTTTAAAAGCATTATTCTTATTAATTCTATTTAATCATTTTTTTTAAATTTTATTTCTTTAAATTTCTTTATATATCATTTTATATATATTTTTTTGGAAACTAAAGTTAACTTTTTTAATAAAATAATTCTATTCATTATTAGCTTTATTATATTTTAAATATTTTTCAATAAATGTTCATATATTTTATGATTCGATTATTTACTGATATTTAGCGATTTAATTAAATATTTTATTTAACATTATTGTGTAATATAACTTTTTTGAGTCAATTCTATTTAATTGTTTATTTTTAATTATTGTGCTTGTTAATTTTTTTTATTTTTATAAATTGTTTTTATTGTAATTATAGTTTTTAAAGATTTTCTAATAATTTTTGTTAAATGTGTTTATTTTTTCCATTGTATAAACTATCTAATATGAGATAACCCTTTTCTAGCATATAGTACATATCCCTTACATTTCTTATTTATTAAGAAACTCTGCTGATTTATCATCAAAGGAACAAAACATTAAATGCAATGGGAGTGAATTTAACATTCTCTGCTTTGTTTGTTTTAAAAGCAATCGATTTCGAAAAATCCTCAACATTCTTACTTATTGTTTCCTTAAACTTGAACTAAATCTATCCAAGTGGAATAGCATATAAACCAGCACAAGAAATTTGTTTCCATGTCACAAATCCTTGAAATTTGTAACAACTTCCTGAGTATCCTTGAAGTGTGCACGCGAATTCAAAAATATTAGGGTGCACATTTTTGTCCCTATTTGTGGTTGCAACAAAACTGCAGTGCACATATTTAGCTGGTTCCAATCAGCATGTTGCCAGCTAAAAAAGGAAATATACTCCTCTAACGCTGCTAATGCATCAGTGTAGCTTCTTCTGAGCTGATTGCATTCTGTCGCCAAGCAAAATCGAAGTGCTTAAATAGGGAAATGTCAGTTTTTGCACTGTACGAAGTTGAAGAAAAAAGGATATGCAATTGTCAACTCATTTCAAGGACTAAAGTAAATCCAGTGAATGGTATTTATTGTTTTAATGTGACCTTGACAGTGAAAAGTATTTTCATTGATATTTAACTTTATTAGGGTGCCGGTAAAGTAGGGAACTAGGACGGTAAAATACACGTGCCGGTTATGCGTATTTCAAGGATTTTCAAATGTAGTTACTGTGAAAGAATATTTTTTATATGCTGATCTGGTGAATAAATTCATATAAAATTTTTATAATAGTTTTTAAATATTTCAAACAGAATGCAGCCAAAATTCAGTTAATGTAAATAATAAAAAAAAATGTAATTTACTACTATTCGAAACCTTTCCTCTGTTCCTTCTACAGTGAAGGGGTTAGAATATTCTCGCGCTGGGCATGCCTGTCGCAAGAGGCGACTAAAATCTCGGTGCCACGCCGACACTTGTGTAAGAAGTGTGCATGGTAGTAGGTGTTGTCCAAGCTTGCGACATTTGATCAGAGATCGCTATATCTGGTACTACGGGGATCAGTGGCCTAATTTTAATAGAATTTTTTTAAATATATTTTTAAATCACTGTTTACCAAAATTCAATATATTAC